CTCTCACTCTCAGCCTTGACTATAATAATCCCTTTTGAGGATTCTCCTCTCAGTTCAAGAAGTGCTGCAAATTATTTTATCTCGGTTGGAACTATCCCTTACTTAATTCAGACAATCTTCTGTTTCCTGATTAATGAGCAAACTCACTGGCACCCTTTTCAACATTTATGGCAGACATGATGACGGGACTAAGGGAACTATTACTTCATTAACAACCCTGTCGGGTAGATAGTGAAAGTATTATTTATCGTCACCCCCCCCCCATTTTACATATGAGAAAACTAATGCTTAGAAATTAAATGCTTTATTCGTGGTCATTGCCAAGGAAATAGAGATACAGCCAGGACTCAAAACTAGGTCTTCTAGCTCCAAATTGATTTTTTTCCCCCATTGTACTATAGAGCCTCCCAATCAGCCTTCAGATATTCTACATATATGGTCTACTCCTTATCTCCTTCTATACTAATCCTAAAATTCCTTATCCCTAGCTGAGGTTAATCTAGTACCTGGACATACAACAGTGTCTCCTAAATCCTAAACAAGAAAGCAAAGTATAATTCTTTCATTTATCTTTATATTCCTGTGTTCTCCCCAGCATCATACACAAAGCATTACACATAATAAGTACTTAACAAATATTTGTTGAATGAATGATAGAATAATATAAGAAAAATTTTGTTACCCTGACACCCATGAGCTTCCAGGGGCATCATAGATTTAGTGCTAGAAGGTACCTTACAAATCATTTATAAATCCAATCCCATCTTTAAAAAAAAAATAAACTGAGGCCCAGAGAGGTCAAGTGACTTGCCTTTGGTCACAACAGGTAGTAAGTGGCAAAGCTATGATTTGAACTAAGGTCTTTCTACTGGACCACACTATCTCCTGACCCATCTGAATGTTTCCTTTCATCCCTTAAACACTAAGGTTCAATCCTAAGCTCTCATTATTTTTCTTCAAAAAACAAAGGTTTTTTATTGATATCTTTTGTTTTTACATTTTCCCCAGAATCCTTTCCCATAGAGCCATCATTATAAAAAAAATTTTAAGGGTAAAAAGAGAAAAAATTCAGCAAAACCAATCAACACAGAAAAAAATCTGACATTATCCATGTAATGTTCTATACCTGTGAACACCCACCTCTAGCAAGGATGAAGAGAGAAGTATTTTCTTCTCTCTCTTCTTTGGGGCCAAGCTTTGTCTTTGTAATTATTCAACATTCACTTAATATTGGTTGTTAGTTGTTGTCTTTTCCATTTACATTGTTGTAGTCATTGGGTATATTATTTTCTTGGCTCTGCTTACTTCACTTTGGATCAGTTCCTATCAGTCTTTCCATGCTTCTCTGTATTTGTGTTCATCATTTCTTATAGCACAGTAAAATTACATTACATTTTAGTAGCACAATTTGTTTAGCCACTACCTAGTCAATGGGCAGCAACCTTGTTTTTAGTTCTTTGCTGTCACAAAAAGTGCTACTGTAGATATTTTGGTGTATATAGAGCCTTTCTTTTTGTCAATGACTTCCTTTGGATATATGTCTCATAGTGGAATCTTGGTCAATGATATGGATATTTTAGTAATTTTATTTGCATAATTTCAAATTGCTTCACAAAGTGATTAAACCAATTAAAATTTCCATCATAGTCTCTCATTATTAGTGATTTGGAGCATTGTTTCATAATATGGTGGCTAATCGTTTGCAATTCTTCTTTTGAGAACTGGTTGCATCCTTTGACTACTGATCTACTGCGGAATGGCTCTTGCTCTTACATATCTGTTAGTATATGTGGAATATCATGCCCTTATTAGAGATATTTGATAACTTTTTCCCAGTTGATTGCTTCCCCTTTTTTTAACCTAGATGGATTAATTTTATACAAAAGCTTTCTAATTGCATATAATCAAATCTATTTTTCTCTTATAATTGTCTTCTAGCCCTTGTTTGGTTAAGGATTCAGCCCTTTCTCCTAACTAGGAAAGGTATAGGACCTTCTAATTTGTTTCATACTAAAGTCTTTAACATTCAAGTCAAGTATCCCTCTTGAATTTGTTGTGGAATGCTGCACATTGGTCTAAGCCTAATTTCTGCCAAACTGCTTTCCTTTACCTTGTGCCTCAAGTCCATTTTTTCTTGATTCCATTTCTACGTATCAGTTCTACCTATCAAATTGATTTATGCTTGAACCATTGAAGAAATTACCCCAACAGGTTTTTCTGCCTCCAATTTTTCCTGTAGATGGTAAACTGTTCAAAGGGCAAGGACCATGACATTAATATTCATATCCTCAAAGTGCCTAGTGGTGTCTTAAGCACAATAAATGCTCATTAAATATTTGTTGAATTATTTACATTGTTTTCTTGCTCAGTAACCACCAGTGGCTCCCTACTCCTTTACAGGTAAAGTCTGCTCTTCTTAACTTGATATTTGAGGCTTACTAACTGGCCTCAAAATACTTCTATAGCTTTATTTTTCACAATTTCCTAACAAAAACAAGCCCTCACTCCAGCTGGGTTATCAATTCATTATCATATGACCCTTCCTTGCTCATATCATTCCCCATATTCCACCTGGAATACAGAGTAAGATGTTCAGTTAATTTTGAGCAGCCATGAAAGAGTTTAGGTCTTATCAAGTGATATATGCTTATGAGCTTTGCACATTCTACTTTGCAGAATTCCAAGACTGAAAGTACTTTATGGGATAACCTAGGTATTTATAAATACTTGACAAATGACTAAAACTTCCTTCAGGCAGTATTCTGCCTATTCAAATTAAAATGCAATAAAAATATTAAGTAAAGCTCTGGGCTAGAGGCCCCGAGGAATATTCAAAGATCGATAAACCATATTTTCTGGTTTTGGAAAGTTTATAGTCTAGGGATTAGGGAATAGATAGTTATTTGGGTAACACAAATTAGAACAGGCATGAGTACGTAGGAATGCTCCACAGATACAAGGTCAGAGGAAGGAAAAGAAATCCATCCCAGAACTTATCTGTTGTTAAAGTTCTCCAAGAGGAAGATTCTATAAATTTTCTTTATCAACCATTCTAATATAAAAAAATCCTTGATGTCAAATTCAGTAAACATTTATCAAGCAGTCTACTTAACTTTAAGGAGGTAGAGAGGATTAAAAGTTTACCTAAGATAAGATCTTTGTCCTCAGGTAGCTTACAGGAAATTCTTTACCTTGTCTAACTTTTTGCTTCAGCTTACATTTACTTTCTCAAGTACTATGCTGAAATCAGAACGAAACCCCACCAGAATTCAAACATTCTATATTCATTTCAAGCACCATTAAAAGAAGACCAGGATCGGAGATAAACTTTGCGCCTCTCTCTACATAATGTTCTTTACCCTCAGACCAGATCATTCTAGTGGCTTTTCCACTGGCCCTTAACACTTAATAAAATTTTTGCTCAAGTCAGGTGAAAATTGCTTCCTTTCATGCAAACTAGGAGTGATCATTAAAGTGCTGAGTAAGTACCCAGTAAGCTCCCTTGGTAACTTATCTCCAGTGATATTCCTGTGGGAGTAATTCATTAATTATCCAAAGCCTCTAAAGTATGCTCAACTAGTGATTTTCTGTTTCTGCCCCACCCTGGTTTAGATACTCGTGGTTAGGAAAATGTAGTTCAACCTGTCTCTTACCTCTTCCATTTTGCTCTTGTCACTTAGAAGCATCCATTTTCTGGAGGGTTCTAAGGAAGAGCCTTAAATCTAAAACTATATACATCAAGGGCCCTGGCAGTAGCTGAAGTCAAGCAATGCCGAAATCTTCGAAGAAGTCTGCTTGGGTTCATGCAGTGGTATGGGATTTAGTTAATTGTCACCATTGTAATTGCACACATTTTCCATTCCAGTCTCCAGTTTCCACCGCACTTTTATTCTAAATGGTTTTCAGTTTGATTCTTCTGACAGCCACTTACCCCTCCTCAAAATAAGTAACAGTGGTGTCTCCTGTAGTTCAGGACACTGTATAAGATTGTCCTGAAGTCAACTACGGTAATTTTGAACAACTGGCGGGAAGGCATGCGAACTTTTTTAGACTTAACAGAGACTGAATCCTTGATTTCTTTGAAGAGGCAACCTCCTTCTAGCAATACAGGTCAGCACCTTGCAAATCACAGCCTTAAGTGACGTGCCCCGTGGTAGCAGCGTCAGAGGCAGGACTGGAAGGTCTTCCAGGCTCCTAGGCCGGCCCTCAATCCACTCTGCTTGGGGCATCCCAAAGTAAGGAAGTAAACATCCTCCAGACCATGGCAGAATTCAAACAAATAGCACATTTTCAAAGCCCTTGGGAAAGAAATATTTCCTCTTCTACTAGAGGAGGGGGATGGGAGGAGGAAAATAGGATGCTCGAGGCACAATCACCACCTGAGAAGGGCCTAAGACTAGCAGAGGGGTCAGAGGAGCGAGGCCTGGACACACAGCAGCATCCCGTTTGCTTTATCTTTAATGGAGTTTTTGTTCCGACGTAGTTTTGGAGTCTCCGCGAGGCTCTGAGGCCAGTGCTTCTCGCCGAGACTCCGGGCGTTGTTAGGGAAAAGGAGGAGGGTAGAGAGATGGGCCAGGGCGGAGCCCAGGCGCGCGCTAGCAGCAGCATTCCCGGAGGCCGCAGGAGGAGGCTGCGGCCAAGGAGACACCCAGCTGGGCCGGGCGTTAGGCCTAGGGGGCGGTGTCAGGCCTGTCCCGCGAGCGGGACCTCCCCAGAGCAGCCAATGATTGCGGGAAGGGGGCGGGGCGGACGGGAGCGACGGGCCCCGGCTGGCCCTGGGCTGGTCCGGCAGAACGCTTCTCCCGGAACTGGCCTGGAAGGAGCGGGGCCTGCCGGGCTCTCCGCCTTCCAGTGACGCGTCAGGAAACGAAAGTGTGCGTGCGCAGGGAGGCGGGAGAAGAGGGCGGGGACTTCTTTTTCATTTCCCTTTTTCTTTGTGGGGAAGGGGGAGTAAAGGGAGATCGCGGGAGGTAGAGCCCCCACCCAGCTGCTTGGGGGGGGCGGTTGAGGGGGAGGAGGTGGGGCTCGAGATCACTGCATGTGGCCGGCGTCCCCTCGTGGTACCAAGGCCCCATGGTCCAAACCAGACTGGTTTCTGTGGCCCAAACGCGGCCTTCTGTCTAAGCACTCCAAAGTAGGTGCTAGGAGGCTTAGGAGTTGTTAATTTCAGCACTAGTGTGCAAAGGGAAGTTCTTATAGTGCGTGAGCGGGCAATGGGAGGTGGACAAAGCAGGATTGTGCGTTGAGAGAACCCCTTGAAAAAATCTCCAGTTGCATAAGATTTAGAACAGCAAGCCTCCTTGCTGGGGGTACGGTCGAGCGTTTAAATGATGTTGGAATAAGTAATTTAGAAATTACTTTATTAATAATATTTTAAATTGCATTAGGTTGGACAGTGACAATTCAAAAGAGGATTCTGGGGATATGGGTTCATATACTGTCTCAGCTACTTAAGGGCAGTAAGATCTTTATATAGAATGAAGGGGCTAGCAAGATGGTCTGTGAGGAGCCTTCCAGCTGCCAGTCTATGATCTTATGAAATCCGTTACACCTCAGCTTTTTCACCTGCAAATTGAAGATTGGATTTCACCTCTGAGATCTATTTTATCTTTATATTTATGATCCTTCAAGTTAACCGAATTCTCAGCTCAAGTTAGATCCCACAGACTCTTATTTTTGTTTTATGCATCCAGGTGACATTATCATCAGCGATCCTGGACCATTCAGAGTTAAATGGAATTGATAATACAGTTTCCAAATGCAGCTGGAGCCTAGAGAATGTGAAGAGACCCCTTCCCTTTTATGGGGTTTGGATCCTGTGTTTTTAGCATTTGCAAAATTGTATGTAAAGGATATACTGAGCATCAAAGAGTCCCACCAAGCTCCAGGTATGTGGCTTTTGAGTACAGAAGGCACAACCAGCCTTTTACCTTACTCAGGGGTTATCACAAGTCTTACTGACAACGTGAGGTTTGCAAAGTATTTACTTGGGTACTTGGCAGAAATGTTTCAGTGGTTTCATGGTGCCTGTGAAAATGACTGTAGCACTTTTTACTCAACTCAGGATCAAATTAACTTCTTGTTGTTTATTTAGGAGCCTTTAAAAAAACAAAAGGGGATTTTTTTGTAAGGAAGGAACTTTATGTGTGCCTACTCTGTAGTTGGATCAGATTTTTAATTGTCTAAATGTCCATTTGGCTTCTTTTGTACTTGTCCTTTTCTTTCTCTTGATGTTTGCTGTCGCCCCTTAACTTGTTAGTTTCCATATAAATTTTCAAATATGGGATATGTCACATTTCTACAGCATAATATGCCTGTGATTAGGTATTGTCTAGGTTTTGTAGATGAGGTAATGGGCCCAGAAAGGCTAAAGTAAGTTTTCCCAACCTGTATAAGTAGCCATTGGCAGAACCAGTACTGGGCCCCAGCTCTTGTGCTTCTGAGTCTGTGCTTTTCCATGTACTACTTCATGTCTGCCTTACAGCAAATAAATAGGTTTTAGGGACAGGGTTGATCAATGCATGTTGGAGTAATGACTACTTCCTTTTCATGGGAAAATTTCTGCCATTTCGGAGTTTCACAAAAAAATATTTATTTCCCAACCTATTTGTTCTGCTATATTTTAAAATGTAGGGCCTGAGCAGAAAAGCCCACTTAAAGCTCAGAAGGTTTCCTAGGCAAATGTAACCTAAGTGGTAGAGTTTTGTCATTTTAGTGAGATAATAGTAATATTATAAATAACTCATTTATAATAGCTTTAATAGCCTTATATAATAGCTTTAATGTCTGCAAAGCACTTTATGTAATATATCTAATTTAAGCTTCATGATAACTCCGTCAGGTAGGTACTACAGGGATTACAATTCCCATTTTATAGATGATAAAACTGAGGCTCAGAAAAGTTTAGATGATTTGTTCATCCATGGTCACAAATCTAAGACTAGATTTGAATCCAGAGCTTCCTGATTCTTAACTATACTCTAATCCACTAGACCAGCGGTGAGGAACCCTTGGCTTTGAGACCATATATGGCCCTCTAGGTCCTTGGATGTGACCTTTTGCCTGGGTCCAGGTTTTACAGAATAAATCGTTTTATTAAGGGGATTTTTTTCTGTGAAGTTTAGATTCAGTCAAAGGGCCACACTTGAGACCTAGAGGGCCACATGTGACCTCCAAGCCACAGGTTCCCCACCCTTGAACTAGACCAACTTTAGGCATTCAATAGAATGTAAGCTCCCTGAGAGTTGACCCTGGGCAAGTCAACCTTTGTTTCCCTCAGTTTCCTTATCTGTAAAGTAGGGCTAATAATAGCACCTACCTACCAGGGTTGTTTTGAGGATCAAATGAGATTAATTATAAAATGCTTAACACAGTGCCTGGCACATAAGTAAGCACTACATGGGTGTTAGCTATCATTATTTGTCACCTTAATACTGCCTAGTTCAGTGCTTGGCACATAGGAGCCTAGTAAATGCTTCTTTACCCTTTACTTCTACATCATAGTAACATTTAGATAGCCTTTTACTCTTTAATATCCACTACACCTTTCCTAATCATTGTTGGAAATGGTATGATTTTTTGCTTGTTTCCTGTTGAAAGACAGCCAGCCTTCCCCACAGGCATCTGTTTTCCAGAACAGCCTAGTATTTTTCATAGCTCATCTCCTTAGGAAGTAACTAAATCATACCAAATGCCACCCATATGGAAAGATCCATTGTAGATGAATGAAGCTGGGATGGGGGACGGGGGGGGGGGGGTGAACTAGAGTATTATAAATCTGTTGCTAAGGCTTAACTTTTTCCAGTGGGTTAAAATCCCCAAAATTGCTTAAGACCAACAGTGCATTCTGATCTACTATAAAAGGTAGTATTTAGTATTTAACTAACTAGAAACATTTCCTTTAAATAAATAATCAAGGCTATGTACCAGGAAATTTTTTTATTCAGAATCCCTCCTGAGTCCCAGGGAATGTGAAAACTGCTTAAGAGCCCTGGAGTGAGGCACTACACTTTTGGCCCCAGAAGTCTGGCCTGGATGACACAAATCCTATTACTTTTTGTAAGAGAGGAAGGATTCTGAGAAACAGTGACTAATATTTAGAAGAAACACTGGCAGATACAGATTGACCCATCTCTTCCCTTGGTTCCTTTTTGTTGTCAGGCCATTTTTTTATACTGTTTGTGTAGTAGGATAGTATGTATTGATATTTTTGTACTCTTATACATTAAAGTTGTTCATTTTGATTTTTATCAGTTGATTAAAGTCGATAGAGTGACATATATGTTTGTCTTCTAGGCCCCAGCCCCAACTGCCTTAAATTAATTTGTAGCTCTGACACCTGTGGAAAAATCCTTGCCTGAATTGCTTTGTTTTTTCTTGGTGTCTGGCATTCCAAGCAGGCCATTAAGCAGTGTAGGGCAATGGGAAGAATACTGCGTTTGAACTCAGAGGACCTGAGTTCAGATCCCAATTCTGCCACTTATTGTTGTGTGATCTGGGACAAATCATTTAACAAATCACTTAACCTCTCGGGGCCTCAGGGCCTTTTCTCTAAAATGAGGTTATAGAACTAGATGATCTCTGAGTTCCCTTCCATCTCTGAATCTATGACCCTATGATCTCTTTAAGGCTGGGACTTGAATAATTGATAGCTTAGGGGAAAATGCCATTAATAATACATCAAAATTGTAATTCATTTCCTATGAACTGGGCTTCATGGTTACTTCTTTTGCAGGTGTATTTTTTTACAATGGGCACCCAATAAAACAAGTAGATGTTTTGGGGACAGTAGTTGGAGTGAGAGAGAGAGAGTCATTTTACAGCTATGGAGGTAAGATCAATTCTCTTTTCTTTAGTTTTCTTGTTACAGTTGTACCCCTACTTCTCCAGACATTACTTTAAAGGCACAGTGTCTCAGAGAACATTGGGAAATGGAAAGTAAGCTCTCTTAGAGACCATGTGTTATACTCTATAAGAGAAACCTCTTGACAGTCATTGCCTTCCAACCATGGGGAAAGTAAGACATCAAATGAGAATAAACATGGATATTAGCAATGAGAGGTGACAGTTGAGAAGGGACATGGATAGACTTTGAAAAGAAGGTAGAAAAGAGGAGCTATTTGGTGTCAGGATAGATAGATAATCCTGAACACTTCCATGGTCACGGAAGATATTGTATTTTAGCATTTATGAAAATTGATCATAATGGAGACCCTGAGGAATCATGAAAAGATTAACTTATATTTAGTATGTTCTTCTTAAGAAGGCAGAGTAGGAGGAGCAATGTACTGTAGAAATATTTTTCTATACAAAATTTCTGGTTTCAAATTTTTTAAAGTCCTAGCATATTTAAAGAAATAAATGAAACTTATCTGGGTAAGATGAGTGACTACAAAAGTACTTTGTAAGTTACAGTGTGCAATATAAGCAAGTTGTTCGTACAGTTGTTATTATTATAATGATAATAGATGAGGCATCACACCAAAACATGGTAGAGGCCAGAACATGGTTTCACTTGGTGATTTTACAAAGGTGGAGGAGCCTATTGCAGCTGAGAAGGGGTCAGGAGAGTTTTCTGTGGGAACCTTGACTTTCTATGGCCCCTGAAGGTTGGACAAGTGACCTCATTTTTACCTTTTAACTTTCTGGGTGTGTGTGTGCGTGTGTAGTATACTGTTCATATTTTGCTTTATCTGGAAACAGATGGAAGGAGCTAGGTCCTAAGAGTTTTTGTAGTGTTTTTCGTAATTAAAAAAAGATGAAATATTACCACATGTATCATTTACATGTATTAGATTTACTAGTTATAAATTGTTTATACTTACAGGGTTTGAGCATTGAGAATTTTTCCCAAGCCCTTTATGTTTTCTTGTTGTCTTTATTTGTGTTCTAGAATAGGTGGTCTTGTTAGGTGCTCCCTATTGAGGTTTTTCTTGCATAGAGTTTTCTTTTTACTGTTATATACTTTTATTCCTATAGGAACAAAGGGTACTGGACCGTTCCATTTTGACCAGCTTGCTCATTTGGACAAGCCTTTATTAAGGGCCTGCTTTGTGCCCAGCCCTGAGTTAGGTATTCTGTAGGACATAAGGGAAGCATGAGCCAATTCCTTCCCCTCCAGGAACTCCTAGAAGAAACAGAAGAGGACATCAGTGTTTCTGTAGTAGGCATTTGCTGGCAGTTGTGATCATGTTGAAGTTATTTTTCTCTTTGAAGTAATCTGATCCCCCCCACCTTTTTTTGTCCATAAGAAAGGTCAGTAATATTTGTTTTGTAGCTATCTTTTCAAGACCAGTTGATTGAGGGCACTAGGGTGCCAGTTCTGTCCTTAGCCTTGCTAGTTGATCTTGACTTTGCTGCTGCTCCTAAGAGCTACGATTTATGGAAAGCTTCAGACATTCTGTCTTGATCTCATAACTACCGTGTGAGGTCAGTGGTAGAGATAGTTTATCCATTTTGCAGATGATGAAACTGAGGCTCAGGGAAGTTAAGGGACTTGTTTAAGGTCATACAGTGAGTCACTGACAGAGCCAGAGTTTGACTTCAAATCCAGTGTTCTTTCTATTATACCGTAGCTTTCTCTGTAGATTCAACCTGCTGGAAGGCCAAATCTGTTGATTTTTAAAAGAAGCAAACAGCAACAACCTAAACGAGGATATTGTCTCTCCCATAAAATAAATCAAGATCTAAGACAGATTTGGAGTGTTTGGATATGCTTGAATAAACTTTCCCAGAGAGGGAATTCCCCAAGAGAAAGAAACCTTTGAGGGCTGTGTTGGAAATAGTGGAATAATTCAGAATGAAAATAACTTCTAAGCCTACTCTCTCCCAGCTGACTGAGTCAAAGCTCTTTCTGGCTCTGCCGACCAGAGAACTTATTTTAGCTTTTAGAATGAATACCTGCCAGGCTGCCCCTCCCTGTTCTTTCCTCAGTTTTGGTCTGCCTGACTCACTGGGAGCTATACTTGGGCTGTTTCCTGTTCATACTGTTTGACTTGTCTCACAGCTAAAAACAAAAGGGTGACCAGGGCTGGCCTGGAAAGGAACTGGTATTGCATCAGCTAAAGAGTAGTGCCTTACATAGTACTGTGGTGATCTATCCCCCTCTAATCCATTCAGCAGCAGTGGCCCCAGAAGGCTTTAGAAAGGGCCAGGGGGAGAGTTGAAAAGCAAGTATTAGCCTGTGGCCTCTGTCATGATTGTTAGTGGACTTGAATACCACAGCCAAAACAGCTTAAAACAGTATCTTCTACTGGGGCCAAGAAACCTGGGAGGCAGATGTCCTCTTGCTTCTAGAATTTAACTTGTCCCCAGTTGAAAGCTTGAGAGAATTTCAGATTGTATAATAAAAGTCTGTATTTTCTGGGTATAGAAGTTAGTTGATAAATATTGACTAAGCACTTCCTATGTTTAGGCATTTTGCTCAACTCTAGGGATACAAAGAGAAGCAAAAAACACAGTCTTTCCCCTCAAGGAGCTCACATTCTAACAGGAGAGACAACATGTAAATGACCAGATACCTAGAAGCTGTATGTATGTACCTAGATATATATGTATATACACATACATATACATACATATACATGCACACATACACACATATATTTATATGTGCATATATACATATAAATATATACATACATACATATATATGAAGAGTAGGTATTAGAATCTCCAAGGGAAAGGTACTAGCAGTTAGAGGGGACCAAGAAAGATTTCTTGTAAAAAGTGGGGTTTAAGCTGAGTCTTGAAGGAAGTTGGAGAAATTAAGAGGAGGAGATGAGGAAGGAGACCATTGCAGGCAAAGGGATAGGCATTGCAAAGACGCAGGAACTAGATATGAAGTGGCTGGAAGGGTGGCATAGTGGCTAGAGGACTGGCCTTATAATTAGGAAGACCTGGGTTTAAGTCCTGCCTTTAATGTACATTAGCTGTGTGACTGTCAAGGACCATTCATCTCCCAGAGCTCCAGATGGCTCTCTAGAGCTATAAGTTACAAATGAGTTGCTTCTCTGCTTTGATGAAGGAGTTTCCACACTAAGAGTCCCCGCACACTGATCAAATCACAAGGTAGATCCAGTGCCAATAAAAATTTGTCTAGATGCTTAGTAATGTTTGGCTTGATGGCATCAATTTTAGATCATTGTTGGGGCCAAAGTAATCTATTAACCAACCAAGAGGTGCTGCTGTTTTCAGATTCCAGTTCTGGCCCAGCTTCTTCAGTTTGGTTTGTTGGTCATTATCTTTGTTCTTTCTAGTCACCTTGTAGGAAAATTCTAAAACATTTGTCCCACCCAATCTGGATTGGCTTTATCTACATTGACTCATGCCAATCTGCTGTTGTTTCCTGTCACAGGAGTAGAATAACTTGTCTCCTTCCACAGATGAGTTCATGCAAAAATCGTGAATAAAAGGGAAAGAAAAGATAAGGCTTAGGGTTTTTTTAAAAATTAATTTGAACACACTCTGATTTTTCTTTGTCCTGAAACAAAATAACTGGCCTACCATGTTATAGCCAACACTTACAGTTGGCATGTAAAAGAGTTCTGAAGACAATGAGGCTACACAGAATGATACATACGTTTTCAGACGTAGTAAATGAATTGATTTGTTTTGCTAGAATTTATTTATTTGTTTCAAGTGGGCATCTATCAGGGAAGTGTGGGGCAGTTGGTGGGTAGTGATAGAGATGCAAAATTTAAAACATGAAACAGAGTGTTATTAAAACATCTATGATCCATTGTCTCCTTCCTTTTTTCTCACCTTCTTCTTAATTCTGCAGTCTGGCTTCTGGCTTCATCATTCAATTAAAACTATTCCTTCCAAAGATACCAGTGATCTCTAAATTGCTAAATCTGATGACCTCTTAGTCCTCATCCTTCTTGACCTCTCTGCAGCCTTTGTCAGTCATCTTCTTCTCCCTGAAATTCCTTTCTCACTAGGTTTTCATGACACTGTTCTCTCCTAGTTCTCCTTCCTATCTGAACTCCTCCTCCAACTCCTTTGCTAGATCTTCATCCAGGTTATGCCCACCAACCATGGGTGTCCCCAAAGTTCTGTCCTGGGCTCTCTTTTCTTTTCCCTTTATATGATTGTGGTTGCTAAGCTCACCAGCAACCATAAATTCAGTTATCTTTTCTGTATTGATAAGTAACTAAGTAACACAGTGGGTAGAGTAGAGTCTAGAAGACTCATTTTCCTGAGTTCAAATCTGGTTTCAGATACTGGGCAAATCCCTTAGCTTCAGTTCACCTCAGTTTCCTCATCTCTAAAATGATATGGAGAAGAAAATGGCAGACCACTCCAGTATCTCTGCCAAAAAAACTCCAAATGGAGACATGAAGAGTTGTAGACTACTGAAAATGACTGAACAACAAACAATACTGATGATTCCCAGATCTCTTTATCTAACCCTAACCGTTCTCCTACCTATTAGACATCTTGAACTAGATGTCCTTAGTAATAACAGTAATAATAGTTAGCATTTGGATAGTGCTTTTAGGTTTGCAAAAATACTTTTACGTGTTATCTCATTTTATTCTCAAAACAAACCTGAAAAGTTTGTGTTATCATTATCCCAATTTTACAGATGAGGAAACTGAGGCTGGCAGAAATTAAGTGGGCTTGCCCAGGATCACACAGCTAGTAAATATCTGAGATCAGTTTTGAACCCAGGTCTTAACTGTCCAGCTCCAGCACTCTCTCCACTGCACCACTAAGTTGATTACTCAACAGGTCCAAAACTGAACTTCTAGCTCCCAAAACTTCCCCCCTGAAATGCTACCCATTTTCTAACTTTCCTATTGCTTTTAAGGGCAACATCACCCTCCCAGTCACCCAGGCTCACAGAGAGGATGACCTTAACCTCTAGTCTTTACTCTTTCACCCTCAATATCCAATCAGTCACCAAGTCATGTTGATTCGACCTTTTGATTCGATCTCTTCCACATACTCCCTTCTCTCCTGTGCCACCACCTCATGTCTAGACTATCATAGTGCCCGTTGGTTGGGCTCCCTGCCTTAAGTCTCTTCCCGATTCAGTCCGTCCACTCAGCTGTCAGATTGATCTTCATAAAACACAAATCTGACCATGTCACCTTCCTATTCAGTAAACTTCAGAGGCTCCCTGTCACATCCAAGATTGAGTATAGAATCCTCTAACTGGCATTCAGATCTCTTCATGACCTGCCTACCTCCTCCCTTTTGAGTCATCCTTATACCTTATGCTCCCCTTCTCCATGTACTCTGCATTCCAGTGACATTAGCCTTCTTGCTGTTCCTCAATCAAGATACTCCCATCCCCTGACTTTGCATTTCACTGCTATCCATCATGCCTAGAATTCTTTCTGTCCCATTTCTGTCTCCTGGCCTCCCTGGCTACCCAGCTGAAATCACACCTACAAGAAGCCTTTCCTCATCCCACATAATACTAGTGGTACCTTCCTTCTGTTGATTCTCTGCAGTCTATCTTGTTTGTACCTTGTTTGTATATGGTTGTTTACATGTTGTCTCTCTCATTAGCCCCTTGAGAGCAGGCCCTTTTTTTTTTTTGCTTGGGAAAAAGTCAGCTGGGTGGCACTGGGGGCCTGGAGTTAGGAGGACCTGACATTAATGCTGGCTTCAGACACTTAGTAGCTGTGTTAGCCTGGACAAGCCACTTAACCTGTCTTTGTCTCAGTTTCATCAACCATAAAATGGGGATAATAATAACACCTACCTTCTAGGGTTATTGTGAGGCATAAATGAGGTAATATTTGTAAAGTATTTAGTACAATGCCTGGCACAAAATAGGCTTTTAATAAATGCTTCTTTTTTTCCTTCTTTCATTCTGTACTGAAGTCCTCCACACGGATAAGATCATGGGTAGATCCTCCCTTTTGTTATTCTTTATATATTGAAATATTTTGTTCTTTGATGATTCTTAAATTCAAAGTTAAAAAGAAAAGAATTCTTTTAAAGAAAAGAATATAAAAAAATAAAATTCATGAACCAGATGTTCATGGGTTTATAAAGTCTTCTTTTTGTTCTTTGAATATTGAAATATTTGTTATTTGATTATTCTTAAGGTTGTAATAAAAAAGAAAAAAATAGTAAGGCAACCAGACCAATAGACCAAGTGTTCTCTTCCATCCTCTTTTGATCCTTCCAGGAACAGTACCTTGCAGGCTGTTTAGCTTAGGGGAGTGGCAAGGTTGATGCTTGAACCTCTTGAACAAGAATTGCAAGGATTAAGGTAACTTTAGGGCAGAGATTCTGCCCTGGAGAAGGCCCTGGGCTAATGTCTCAAGGTATATACTCTCCTTCAGCTATTCCCTTCTGATATGTCAGGAGCACCAGGTGATATCTGTCTTTTCCCAAAAGGCCTTGCCTACTCCCTTCATACCAGCTCTTCTCCTCTAATGAATCTACAGGGTTCTATAACAAAACAATATTTTCATGACCAGTACTATTATAATTTGTAAAATGGAAGTATGTGTGTCCATGTACACGTTTGTGTGTGCATACGTATATGTATAAAAATGTAAAATAATGTGTTTATTATGTATGTATCTATGAAAACAAAACTTTGTTCCTTTGTAGTCATTCATCTGAAGACCTCGAAGTACTTTTATTCTCACATTCTCTGTATTAAGTGAAAGTAAGTGGAAAATATCTCAGAAAGAGATACTAAGGCATAGGGGCTTCATTTGATTTCTCAAGGCCCCTTTCCATGATGATAATAAGAAGACAGCACAAAACCCTAGACTCTAGGCTGATATCTTTTCAGTATAGGGTATAAATAATTTTGCCAATATATTTTGTTTTAGCTAATTCATCTGTCTATGAACACTTGAGACTAAAATGGACAGTTACTTTCTAAGGACACTGTTTTGGGGAGGCAAAAATATTGAGTATCTAAGATTAGTGGAGCACAGGAAATATACAGTTTGTGCAGCTGATTTTCTAGAATGCAAAAAATTAGAGTTCAAAGAGGAATGTTTACAATGTGTACAAATTTTGACGTGCAGACAAGTGGTTTTTATTAGGGGTCTGGTGAGAAATGTCTGGAGATAGAAGAGTTTGAATAAGTGTTTTATACTAGATTAAAGTATTTGTCTCTTGGGGAAAAGAGTAATATAAATAATTTATCCTTTTTCACTGTCACTGACAAAAGTGCAAAAGTATTATGATAACATGCTTGCCATGCAAGAAAAGCCACCATCTCTGATCTGCTGTATTTATGTTTCCCTTATAGTTGATGACAGTACAGGTGTTATAAACTGCATCTGTTGGAAAAGCTTACAAGATACTAAGTTATCTTCAGGTAAGATGACATTGATTTGCCATGCTTATTCACCTTTGATTTAACCAATACATTTTATTTCTATAAACGAATCAAAAGAGTATTTAGGCCTGAATTTTCAGATGAGTCCATTGGGTTTTGTAGGCTGTCAGTGACACACTTAAAGCTTCTGTTGCTGTTCTGAAAACTGATAATGTAGTGTAGTGTAACTGATCAGGTTTGTTCACTGACATTCTCATGATTCTTCTTTCCATCCATTTGGGGCTCATTTCCATCCACACTAGTGGGAATGCCAGCCGAATGCTATCAAAGTTCAGCAATTCTGGGTCTTTGTTATTCAGGGCAATTACTGAGTGGAAGAGGACAGCTATTCCAGTTCAGTATGAGGCCATGTTGCTTAGCTAGAGGTTTTGAAATATCACTCATCTACATGGTAGCAGTAGCCAAACTCTACAAAGTCACGAGTTGGCATGACACCAACATCTCTGATCTATTATGTGCTCCACATAACATACCAGGCATTCTGTGTTGAGAAGCATCTAAAAATATTGCTTAAAAATAACTTTTTTTAAAAGATAGATTTTTATTGATGTATTTTGTTTATATATTGCCTAGATTTCCTTCTATCCCAGACAGCCGTCTCTTAAAAAAACAAGCAAAAATTTTTTAAAGAAAAAGGGAAGATTGATGTTTGGCAATTAAGAGATCATTGGTAACTTTGGAGAGAGCCCTTTTAGTTGAATGATGAGGTCAGAAGACAGACTGTAGAGCATTAAGAGAGTGAGAGGAAAGGAAATTGAGCCATTGATTATAGACATACGTGCCCTTTCATTTAGCCATGAAAAGGAGGCAACATATAGGACAATAGCTAGCAGGTATGGATGGGTCAAATGAGGGGTTTTTTTGAGAATGGAGGAGACATGGTCATTTTTGTAGATAGTAGAGAATTTGCTGATTTGCTGGGGGAGACAGGTTGGAATGGGACCACTCATGCATGTAGAGAAATTTGCCTTGACCAAAAAACGGCCATTTCTTCATCTGAGACATGGGTGAAGGAGGAGAAAATAGTGGTAAGTATCTTAGTGATGTGAGCTGAGAAGCAAGAGAGACAGAGAAACTCTCTGCAAATGTCTAAGTTTTTTCAGTGAAATATGAGGCAAAGTTCTCTTCTAAGAGAGTTGGGGGAGGGGAAGCCTTGAAAGATGTAAAGGAATGGAAAGCTGTGGGAAAAGCTGCTGTAGTGAGTAGGATAGTGAAACAATTAAGGAGGTGTAAAAGGTTTGCCTCAGTACATTGAGGGTCCAGTTGAGATTATGTAATATAAATTCATCGTGGACTCAGTCATCTTGGTTCCGTGATTTTCTCTAGCTTTGTTCAGAAACACATGAATAGGAATGAAAGCAATGATAGTGGGAGTAATCCAGTCCTGAAGCTTGGCAGGACAAGGGCAGAAACAGGATAAAGGGGCAAGAGCCTTGAGAAAAAAGGGAAGTTTAGAGTTGAACTGGTTCACGAAAGAATCCAGATGGGAAAGGGAGGAGAGTGTAATCAGTGAAAGGGCAATGGCCTATGAACAGCTGAGCGGTTGAGTGGCTGAAGGTCCCAGTGAAGATGAGGAACAGTGTTAGGGAATGCAAGGCAGAGAGAGGTAGGATGACAACAGATTTGTAATCAGATAAAGGAATTTCAGAGTTCATGAACACGGATGTGGAGCACTAGTGGATGATGGCAAGATCAAGGGCGTGACTGTCACAGTGTATAGCTGAGGCAAGGTAAAGTAGTAGGTCATGAGAATTCAGTTGAGAAATGAAGAGACTAGAGTGTTTGAGGGAGTATTAATATGTATTTGAAGTCTCCTAGTATGAGGGCAGGAGCTGGGGAGGAGAGGCTCGGTGGGGAGTGAGCCAGGCACTGAACTTGTTTAAGATTGATAGCACAAGGTCGATTAGATGGCTGCCATCAGAAACTTGATTGGCTGATATAGATAGATTTAATGACCTCCAAAGGAAGAGCGGTTACTGAGTCATGGTGGTAGACGGAGAACCGGGAAGTGATCATGAGGAGCAAGGAGAATTCCTTATGAGTGGTAAGATAAAGCCAGAAGACAGATTGTCAAGATTAAGAGGAGAGTGAGAGGAAAGGAAGTGGCATCATTGATTATAGATAACCTTCCCAAGAATTTTAGTCATAAAGGGTAGGAGACACATAGGATAGTAGCCAGCAGGTGTGGGTGGATCAAATGAGGGTTTTAGCTATCTTGATATTGTTTGATCCCAGTGGAGTACACAGATTGTCATCAATTAATCCCCATTCTTTCTCTGTGATAAGCAGACTGTCCTTCCCTTTTAGTTATGTAGTTTGCTCCCTGATGATATTATTCACATTATTTTTTATTTGTCACCTCAATGCACTGCTCTGGGATTTCACCAACGTTTCTAGTAATCTCATCATTGGGAAAACCTTATCATTGTGCAAGAGTCCATCAGCCTTGGTACTCCATTTCATCACTACCCTCTGCCCCTCTGTTTGGAGAGTGAGGCCATGAACTTTAAAACTTCCTTTTAAGGAGGGAGCTCAGCTTAGCCATCGTTTCATTTCTTATCAGGCTGTGCTAATCTGGGACTTCTCTAACTTTTTTCACTATGACCCCATGTTAGGTACCTTTCTCTCCAGCTTTTCAGCTTTTAATGTGCTGTCTTCCCCTATTAGAATGTAAGCCCCTTGAAGGCAAGGACTTTCTTTTTTCATATTTATATCTCCAACACTTAGCACAGTGCTTGTACCATAGTAGGTACTTAATGAATGTTTATCAACTATTGATATCACTTCACTGAAAAGTTATTTGATGGTATATGTTTCAGCTTATTCACTGCTTCTGTATACCTCGGCAGTGTCCTTTGTGTAACCATCTCACTTTAATTATTTGAAGATATAGTATCACTGGAAGAATATTGATATCAAAAAGATGATCCTTCATTTCAGAAGAAAACTTGAGTTTGGTTTCTCATTGGCATTCCAGCCCTGTGCTCTCACTCGCAATCAAATACAGGATGAATTCATTATCTATCTGCAGTGTTCAGTATATGTGGACTGATGGATTATCTCTATGGGCTGTCCATCCAACTGCAGTAGAACTGCTGGAAAGTCAACATTCTTCATTCATTTCATTCACAGGCTTTTCCTGTGTGCACAGTTAGACAGAACTCTTTTTGAATGATTATGGCTCTCACAGTGTTCTAGGGCTTGATGCAATCTGCACAAAGTGATATGTAAGGAAGAGAGCATTTGGAGAACTTTATTACATAGAGGTAATCAGTCCTTTTCACTTGGGCTACGTGCTGCATGTCCTCTAAGACAGAAGTGACAAACACCTTTGCTAAGCAGACAAGCAAGTTCATTGCCTCAGTTGATAGTAATAATCAGAGGATTCTAAGAGTTATCACTATTGTTACATTTTTTTCAGGAAATCTTTACAGTCTTGGCATATTTACAGTAGACACTTTGTTGAAGGAGAGCTTTAAGGAAGCGTTTTGATCTGCCAAAGAAAATGCTTTTTTTATAGTCAACTAACAGTAAGCACAGTGGAGTCTTTTATTCTCTGTACTTTTCAGTCAGTTGGGTCATTGTAAAAATGTGGTTTGTTATAGAACATCTCTTAGGAAATTCTGCCTTTCCCCTTCATATTCATTCATCTAAGATACCCTTGATGAATATGTTGGTTATTCTGATATTTTGTGGAGTTGGAAAAGCAAGCATGTGGTATCCCCCCTCCAAAGTCTATCATCATTAGGGTTCATAGAGAGAGTCTAGTTAGACAGAAGGTCTGGAAGTTATTCTATTATGTCTTAATGATCTTGAAAGAAGAATGGAAAGGGAAAAAAAGAGAAATACCCTTGGAAGGGAAGGGAAAGGAAGGTTAGGGAAAATTATTTCACATAATTAGCTGTGCAAGTAGAAGTTTCAACAAACAAGGAGGAAAGGGTGGGTGGAGTGGCTGACACTTGTACGTTGTCCTTATCTGAACTAAAGAAGGAAAGAATACACACATACACAGACAGTTGGCTACATTTTACTCAATAGGGAAACTGGAAAAGAGAAGAAGTGAGGAAGAGTAAATTAAGGGAGGTCCCTAAGCAAAACGAACTCTAAGGATGTACAGAAATTATAGCTCTTTTTGAGGTGGTGAAGAATTGGAATCTGAGGGGAAGCTTATCAGTTGGGGTATGGCTGAATGAGTTGTGGTATAGGACATGACCAAATGCTAGTGTCCTGTAAGAAATGATGAAGAGCATGGTTTCAGAGAAACCTGGGAAGACTTGTATAAACTGATGCAGAGTGTAGTATACAGAACCAGGAGAACAGTTTGTACGTTGACAACAATATTGTAGGTACAAATGGCTTTAACAGACTTTAATCAGTGTAATGACCAATGGATTTCAGAGAACTGATAATGAAACATGCTATTCAACTCCTGACAGAGAGTAGAAAGACTTGGATCACAGAATGTATATTTATATATAAATATATATGCATATATATAAAATATATATATACATATACATATGTATATCATGTATATATACATACACACATATGTATATACATAAACATATATGTGTGTGTGTGTGTGTGTGTGTGTGTGTGTATTTCCTTTAAGACATGACCAATGTGTAAATTTGTTTTGCTTAAGTATATATGTTTGTAACAGGGATTTTGTTTTTCTTTCATTCTCAATTTAGGGTGGGAGGAAGATAAGGCAGGTTTTTACAGATTGAAAAAAATTGAAATGTAAGCACATGGATTAATGGTTGTTTTTTATTGGTTACTTTCTATTTTTGAAATTAGACCTGTGTTTTTTCCTAAGTATATAGTAACCTCCCTTATCAAATATCTTGAGAATTGGTCTCAACCATTCCTCAAATTGTGTCAACTCTTATTTGGACCTCCTCTTTATAGAGGTTGTGGTCTAATTTCCCATCTCTGTTTTCATTGGTGCCACATTCTCCTCTTCATACAACACATCAGGGACTGTGATGTTATGTGTCCTAATATGTTCTCTCCACTGTAACTGATGAATAAAAGAGTTTATCTGAATATTAATAGAGCATTTCCATTTCCCAATTTTATCCTTAAATGCCTTCAGGATCATAGGACCATAGATGTAGTGACAGAAGGGACCTGGTTAGGTCATCTGATCCAGCCCTTTCATTTTATAGAAAAGAAAACTCAAGCCAGGAAGGTTAAGGGATTTTCTCCAACGTCTCACAGATAATAATGGCAAAGCTGGCATTTGAACTCAGATCCTATGACTTCTACCCTGTTGTGTAGCAAGTGCCTCCAGTCTGTAGTTTATTTAGGTCTCTCACCAAACATTCTATAAACTTGCTTTTTCCTCTTCCTCCACTTTTTCTTGAGGTTTTAAGAAGCAGTGCTTCTCTTCTGCTACCATCTTCCTTCATAAGGTTTTGCAGATGAGTTCGTATTCTGAATTGGTATTTTCCTTAGCTTCAGTGTGTCTTTGATTAGCAGGAAGTTAAGTGTTTCCTGGCAGAGATGGTTTCTAGGCTTGTTTGGTCTCAGTGTATTGATTGATTCATAGCTATTAAACTTCCTTAGGAAATGGTATTAGTCTGTATCAATTTCCATTCTTTTATCTATTTCTTTTGTTTTTTGTTTTTTGTTTCAGCACCTTGTTTAAATATGTTCAGATGGAGTTGTTTCAGTTGTTTCTTGAACAAAACACTCCACTGGTTGTCTCTCATGTCTGAAAAAAAAAAGAAAGGAGAGAAGGAAAGAAGGAAAGTATGAAGAGAGAGAAGGGAGGAGAGGGTAGAAGAAAAAGCTAATAAGAACTCAATAGTGCCTTTAAATGGACTTGATTTTATGACTCATCAGCATCTAAATAGCTTTGAAGAATACTAATCCATAGATATATAACACAGTATTCAGTCTGTGGATACCTACCTGTCCATTTGTAGATCCCTGGGAATAGCTCAATGGGTACCCAGATATCCAGAGTCCACAGACTGGGAATCCCTGGTCAGCATCTAAGAAATTAGAGAGTCTGTGTCTCATTAGATCAAAAACCATCTTAGAAAGTGACACTTATTGAAACTATTTTGTGTTGGGTTAAAAATCAGATAACTCATGGATTAGAATAGAATCAATTCAAACTATTCTGACTTCTATAGGTGACAGATAAGACTTACCATAATACTGTTTAAGGAATCATTATTTTATTAAATGTGTTGTGACAGCTTTGAATAACAGTTTAGGGAAGAAATAACTTTTATCCATAATTCATGTCATATTTTACTGAAATCAGTATTAATATGAATATTCTTTCTGATGTTGCCTATTTTGACTCTACACATTGTTAAACTATTTCATAACACTTAGATACCTTCTCTTGGGATCCAGGGAAGAAGACCCTGTTTCTGATGACCAGGTATAATAAAATTAAGTTGTTCCATAAGGAGCACAGGTTCTCCCAGCTTTGAGACCAGTTCATTCTCCATTTCATCATGCTGCCTTATAAAATATATAAACACACAAGTTATCACAGGCTATGAGGGTGTATAACCTTGCTTTCTAAAGGACTATGTAAATGTGAGCTATTTTAGGTTGGTATGAGGAAAGGAATCTGAGAAATAACATCTTGACAAGTAGGGAGAAAGGAAGAGAGATTTTTATTTTTTAAACGTTTAATTAAAAATATTATTTAAGTGCCAAACTGTGCATCATCCAGCCCTTTGCTATATGGGCTTTCTTGACTATCTGTATTCTTATTTTTTCTTAGGCCTAAATTCAACTTATTCTGGTATTTCTGTTTATCAAGTCAAGAAACATTTATTAAATAGTGCTTACTTAGTGGAGGCAGTTAGGTAGCTCAGTGGATAAAGCTGTGGGCCTGAAGTCAGGTAGAGCTGAGTTAAAATCCAGCCTCAGACACTTGTTAGCTGTGTGCCCCTGAGAAAGTCATTTAATCTCTGTTTGCCTTAGTCCACTGGAGAAGGAAATGGCAAATCACTCCAGTATCTTTTCCAAGAAAACCTCATACAAGGTCATGAAGAGCCAAATAGCAATACTATGTACCAGGCAATATGCTGCCTGCTGAGAATACAAAGAAAGATAAAACCAGTGTCTGCTGTCAAGGAGTACATGGTGTGATGGAGAAGAAAAGATGCAAAAAACTATGTATAAACTATAAACTCTATTATATATAGATATGTCTGTATTCTCATCTCTATATATGTATATACATATGTGTGTATGTACCTATATAGATATGTATCTATATAGTTCTTTATATGTGGGGGGGGTGGGAAAGAGAGAAAGAGAGAGAAAGAGAGAAAGAAAGATAAATATTGGGGGAGCCTCAGAGGGAAGGCATTAAGATTAAGCAAGACCAGAAAAAGTGTCTCTTGCAGAAGGTGAGGCCTTAGCTGAGACTTGAAGGAAGCCAGGGAAGTGAGGAGGAAGAGTTTCAGATATGGAGACAGCTGATAGCCAGTAAAAATTCTTGGAGTTGAGAGATTGTGTGTCATGTGCAAGGAACAGTTAGGAGACCAGTGCCTCTGGACCACAATATTTGGAGAAGAATAAGATATAAGAAGATTGAAAAAGTAGAACAGAACCAGGTTACTATGGGCTTTAAAAGCCAAAACAGAATTTTATAATTTCAATCTGGAGGTTGAATAGGGAGCTAGACAGATAAGCCCATCAGACATGCCAAATTATCTGGAGAGGGATGCCCTGCCTTAAAAAAAAAATTCCTTTATTAAAAACACTGTTGTATTGATGCCTTTTGTTTTTACATCCTGGCCATTTCTGGAAATACGTGCACTCTTGACCATCTGCCAAAGTCTAACCTTCTTATGTAACAAAGAAAAAAATTGAGTAAAAACACCCCATACAGTGACCACATCTGACAGTGTATGCAATATTCTGCTGTGGTCCCTTGTTACTCGGGCAGGAGGAGAAAGGGTCCAAATGCATCTCAGTGCTTATCTACCTCTACAATTCTGCTTTTGCTCTGACCCAATTAACCCCTCCTTAAAAAATGCCTTAGTACCACTTTTGCTTATACTCAAGTGACTGTTAAGTTGGTGAAACTTGTTGATATGTGTGAACAGTAGTGCAACTGCCCACCTTATATCAGCATGGAAACTGCAGTATCCCAAATTCAGACATTGTCCAGAATGCTGCCTCAAGATTTTGATGGTCCCCGAGCAGAGGACTTCCTTCCTCCCTCAAGGGCACCAATCTGTCAGATACAATCCCTCCCAATTTCTCAGTCACAAAAGCAGTTTGTGCTTTATCAGTTGCAAAGGCTGGGTTTGAAGACTTTCTGACATTGCCCAAGGAAGGCAAATGCCTCATGCTGTCACCAGGAAATGGACAGGGATATAATCAGATGCTCATTTGGAGCAGCTGGTATGGGAGGAGCATTCAGTGTAGCCTGTAACAGTGTGTCCCTGCTGAGCTGAGCTGGTAATGGCTGCAATTTCCTGCCCTCTCCACCCCTCATCTAGACTGTTCAGAGTGACAGGGGAACCCAGCTGCGATTGCTACTTGTGCCTAGTGCTCTTACCCTTCTCTCCGAATGAGAAATCCGCAAGTAGCTTAGCCAGTATAATTGATAGGGCACCCCAGCTTCGTCATTTAAGTCCTCATTTCTGTCTCAGAGGCTTTTTGTGGGCTGTCAGGGAGAGCGTGAGCCATGACCCTGGACCAGCAGACACCAGGGACAGTCTCATGGAGTCACAATGGTGACACAAGGGGGAGGAGAGCCAAGAGCAAACACTAAGGGCTGCAGCTGCACTGCGCTTCTCACAGATTCTCACTGCATGCATTCTTCCCACAAAATAGGGTCCATTCTGATCCAAGATAAACCAGCTCCCTGCTCCCTTGTCTGGCTCCCTTCACTGCCCTGCCTGAAGCACTGGGACAGTCACCACCTCTGGATTCACTTGTTTCCTACAGACTGTCCATTCCCATTCCTGCCCTGGGAAGACCTGTCAGGGTTTTACACGTGGACACTAAAAGAGCAGAGCTGTGGACCCACTTTTGACTCGAAACTCACTATTTTTTCTCATGATATTACATTAGACAGCAAGTGTTTATTTTTATAATTAAATTAATTTTTAATGACCAAATATTGATTTTCCTTCTCTCCCACTCATCCCCATGGTGGTAGTGGGTAGGTAGATATAACAAATATTTCTAGTTAAGCAGAACAAATTCCCACATTGGCCACCTCCAAAAAATAAATGTTTCATTCTGCCATCTGAATCTATCGTCTCTCTTAGGGGGTGGGTAGCATGCTTTATTCTTAGTCATCTGAAATTATGGTTGATCACTGCATTGATCAGAATCCTTAAATCAGGGGCAGCTAGGTGGTGAAGTGGATAGAGCTCTAGCCTTAGAGTCAGGAGGACCTGAGTTCAGATTCGGCCTCAGACCAAACACTAGACACTTAACTAGCTGTGTGACCCTGGGCAAGTCACTTAACCCGATTGCCTTACCAAGAAAAAAAAAAGAATCCTTAACTCTTTCGAAGTTTTTTTAAATAGTGTCATTATTAGTAGTTATTATCCTTTTTTTGTTTGTTTTTTATTTTAGGCAATTGGGGTTAAGTGACTTGCCCAGGGTCACACAGCTAGTTAAGTGTCTAGTGTTTGGTCTGAGGCCGGATTTGAACTCAGGTCCTCCTGACTTCAGGGCCGGTGCTCTATCCACCGCGTCACCTAGCTGCCCCTATTAATAGTTATTATTATTTAATAGTGTCGTAAATTGTTCTCTGGGTTCTATTCAGTTCATTCTGCATCCATTCATACAAATTTTCCCAGGTTTCTCTGAAACTGTTGCCCCGTTTGTCATTTCTTACTGCACAGTAGTTTTCATATGCCAAAATTAGTTCAGCTGTTCCTCAATTGATGGACCCCTCTTAGTTTCCCCTTCTTTGTCATCAGCAAATATATACAAATTACCCATGAGTTAAGCTGCAGTGCTATTGGCTTGAAATGAATAACATTAATTACAGCTATTTAAAAACATCTCTATGAATGTTAGCCAAGAGGAGGAAAATTGGATATGTTTAAACAGTTTATGGTTTAATATTTACTGCATTGGGCTCTTTTCTTTTTCACATATAACATCCCAGTGTTAGCTATTAAGATTTCACAAGTTAAAGGTCCCTGGAACTGGTTCTGACTGCCCATTTCTGCTATTCCTGAATGCCTATTTTCCCCTGAATCTCACCAGCCAGTTACACACAGCGTGGTAGTAATGTAACAAAAGAACAATATACTTAAAATAGAAATGCAAAGTGAACAATGAGAAAAAAAAATGAAACCAGAAAATACTCTCATCCTACCCTAAAAACCTTTCTCCCAACCTACAGCTTTCAATTGGAGTCCAGTACCCCTTCATTCCTTTTATATCTTAAGCAAAATATGAGAGGATTTTCCTTCCAGCAGTTTCCCTGCTTTTGTCTGCCCAACACAGTGAGAAAGGGATACCTCAGTCCCTCGTGGGAGGGGGTAGGGAACCTTGGGATATGCTGAGCTTTTCAGAAAATATTAAGGACAAGTGTGGGCACCTTGGCTGCAATCCCATGCCTGGTTCCGTATGGCTTCCCTTTCGTTACCTGGCCTTATACCGCCTTCATTTGAGGGTCCTAGTACTGGAACAGGCTGGTCACAGTGATGGGTAGACACCTCCTCAGTTACAGGTCCATGTAGGGAGTGATTGAGTCCTGGAGAAAAAGCCCTTGGCCTAGAAAGAGCCATTTCTCTTTCCCTCTTTCACTCCCCCAGTTCCTTCTTACTTCTGTTATGTACCATTACCTTAGTTCAGGCCCTCATCCCCTTTTGCCTAGAGTGAAGACTATTGGCTTTCCATCTGGTATTCCTGCCTCCAATGTCTTCTCTTTTCATTCCTTCCTCCATACTGCTGTGAGATTGATCTTAAGCGAAGCTGTCTCCACCAACTCCAGTAGCTTCCTCTTGTCTCGAAGATAACCTATAAACTCCTCTGTTTGGAATGTAAAGCCCTTCACAGCCTGGTCCCAGGCTATCTTTCTAGCCTCACTGGACAGTGCTCCCACCCTGTGCAGTCGCCTCTAGAAAAATTAGCCTTCTGTGTTTTTATGCTCAACACTCCATCTCTCATCGTCGTGCCGTTGTGTTGTCTGTCCTCCATTCCTGGAGTGCTCTCCCTTCTCACCTCGGTTTCTTAGAGTTCCTTATTTACTTCAAGAATCCACTCAAGCATTACTGTCTATGTAAAATATTTCCTTTTTGTCTTGTGCCTATTTTGTGTTCTGTATATGCCTGTAGACATATATGTTGCTGTCATTCCCCACCCCTCAGCTGGATTGACTGTAAGCTCCTCGAAGGCAGGAACTATTTCACTTTTGTCTTTTTATCACTAGCACAGCACCTGGCACATCCTAGGCACCAGGCTTTAATAAATGCTTATTGACTGACTGAATGATTATGCTCCTACTTTTCTCCCCTTTAATATGGAGCTTATATTTCATCCAAATGTAATAAAGAGCTGCTGGAACTTACTGACTAGGAGGGTAACATGGTCAGATCTGTACCTTCACAAAGTCACTTTGGCAGCTGTGTGGAGGATGTCTTGCAGTAGGGAGAGACTTGAGGCTGGAAGACCAATTAGGAGGCCATTGCAGTAATCTGGGTGAGAGATGGTGAGTGCCTGCACCAAGATGGTCGCAGACAATAATCTAAATATATATCTCAGGTGAACAACATTAGAATGTCATGCAGCAAGCATGAGGACATATATAAGCAGAATACTTAGCATATAAAGCAATAGAACATATAACAAAATTACTGTAGACTAAATACATAGATCTCATGCAAACATGCCACATAGTGTCTCATAAAAAGGATGGTGTAGTATTTTGTATTTATATTTACTTATTATAAAGACATATTTAATGTTTAAAACACATGTAAATATATTTACTTCTTTATATTTATTCTCCCTTTTAAAGTATATATCGATATCTATATCTATTTAATTTTTAAACTTTTAAAAAAATTTTGAGTTCTAAATTCTCTTCTTCCCCTCCCTGTCCCCATTTCTACTTTTCTTGGGGGGTAGGGGGAGTTGGCCTTGAATACATGAAGATTCTTTTGTTTGTCTCTCTTTTTTTTTTGTTCTTATGGCTAAAGTTTGCTCCAGTATGACTGGTGGGCAGAGTTTACCCTCACTGTTTAGGAAACTGCAGGAAACCAGAGATAAGAAAACTAAATTGGAAATTGGGGATGTTGTTCGAATGAGAGGATATGTCCGTGTCTACAGAGAGCAACGAGAGATCCATGCCTCCACTTACTGTAAGCAGCAGCTATTTTGGTTAAAATTGAAGTTTTTAGAAATCTTTCAGAAAAAAAGAAAATATTTGCAGCTTAAATTGACTTCATTTTAAGTTACTCAGAATTTCTACAGAGGGACATTATTTCTTCATTTTATTTTTAAGGATGATAATAGATTGATATGAGTTTGCATTATTCTTAGTTTTTGGTAATAATATTGACATTGGGAGCTCAAACTGTGATTTAATCCACATAGAGAATTCTCAGTGTGGAAGTTCTCTCCATGAATGTAGGTATGTAACTTCTACTCAGCATTGCCTGTTCCTCTGAGAGGTTAAAAGATTTGCCCTTGATCACACAGCTAACATAGGTCAGAGACAGGACCTGAACCTGGGTCTTCCCGACTCCAAGAACAGTCCTCGAGGCACAGTGCCTGGCTTTGGACATGTCTAATATATAACTGTGCAATTGCTTTGAGATTTGGATTTGAATAGCTCTTGGATATTCACTTTGCATTTGTAGAGTATATTAATTTATAGTATGTGTTTATAATATAAATTATAAAGTATAAATTTATAATTTATATTATATTTATTAACTTATAGAGTGTATTGAGATTAAGTAAGCTTTGCTGTATACTGTTAACTCAGTTCATTTAGAAAGAAGTTGGTCAATCAGAAGCTTGGTAGCTTAAGGTTATATGTGGGACACCTTTTGCATTACTCCAGTAGTTGTTTCTTTGGAAATCTCAAAGGTGAAAAGCACTTTTTGAAGGGAAGCATGGGGCATGCCTGTAATCTCTCCTGCCAGGGCGGCAGAGACTGACAGTTCTCTTGAGGTCAGGAGTTCTGAGCTGCAGTGGGCTAAGGTGATCAGGTATCTTCACTAAGTCCTGCATTAACAGGATGAGTTCCCAGGAGAGAGTACTACCAGGTTTTGTAAAGAGGGGCAAACTGTCCCAGGTTGGAAATAGAACAAGATGAAGCTTCTGTGCCAGTCAGTGGGATCAAGTTTGTGAGTAGCCCCTGCATTTCCAACCTAGGTGAGAGAGGGAGACCCAAAGGACAGAAGGAAGGGAGAAGGAAAGGAGAGAGGGAGGAGAGAAAAAACTCTGCTCACAGGGGTTTGCTGACAATCCTAATTCTGTTGTGGTCTTCTTCCCTGTCCCAGAGCATTCCTCTGGTAGCCATGTAATATAGGAATTGTATTCCCTCATGGAGACCATTTAGTGTGCCTCAGCATTAATGATTCCCTAGTGTGATCCACTAGGAGAACCACTGAGGACCTCATTTATTGTTGCTGCATGGAGGAGAATAGAATTCCATGTAACTGCTATGGCATTTTTCCATCTCCTGATAGATAAAGTGGATGATCCAGTGTGGAATGTTCAGATTGCAAGAATGTTGGAGCTTCCAGATATCTACAGAAAAGTTTATGACCAGCCTTTCTCAAATGGTACAGTAGTAAAAGAAGAGACAGTAAGGTAAGCAGTTGCTAATCACTGTTTAAAATGTGCACAGCAATATTAGTTCAACTGTATAATTACAGCCTTAACACTAGAGAATAGTTGAGAAAATGTACTTTGCTTACCTCTTTCAAGAGGAGGAGGACCATGGGGCGTGGAATAGCTTATATGCTGTCAGACATGATGGATGTATTGAATATTTTTTTTTCTTTATTTTTAAAAACTTTTTTTAAAAAGAAGTGACACTCTCAATGGGTAGGCAAGGGGCAAGGGATATATACCAAAAAAAAAAACCCAACCCAACAACCCCGAGGTATAGAAACAAGATATCAATTATAAAAATAAAAATTTTTAAACTATATTTGTTAGCACTTAGGAGAATTGGTCATAAAGTTTAAAAATTTGTTGTTGTTCAATCAATTTTTCAGTCATGCCTCTTCATGACCTTAGTGTAGGTTAGCACTTTCTCTGCAATGGCAGGTCTAAGAGAGTGTCCTCAAGTACTTAGAGATTAAGTGACTTGCCCAGGCTCACATGGTCAAGAGGCTAGAGGTGAGACTTAAACTCAGTTTTCCAGACTCGGAGACCAGCTCTCTACCTACTGTATCACATTGCCTCCCGATATTTACATATCAGGAGTAATGAATATCAAGACATACCACTTTTCACATGAATCACTAAATTGCTAGTTTAGGAGCCACTTTTGAGCTTTCAAAGAGGGAAATAATGCTTTTGTCAAGGTAGCTTCAAAGTTGTTTCAGGAACTCGCTCCTGATACTCAGATCTTGGTTGGAATCCCTTCGTGTCCAATTGCTCATTTTATGGAGTTAATAGAAGTACTTTGCTTTTATTGATTTTTTAAAAAAAACCCATATGTACAAATGCACACATATATGCAATGTGCATATACACATATTTCTGGAACGCACATGTGTTCTATAGAAAAAGCGTAGGAGAGATGTGCAAAATATTCTTGGTGTTTTCCTGCAGTTTTCTAAAACTCAATTCTCTCAATGCAGCAATGCAGGTACCCTGGACCTTTCTAGTCAAACAAGTTTACTGAGTAAAAAAATCCAGGACTTCCTTGTTGAGAACAAAGTGCAAACCTTTTACCAACAAGAGCTAGAAGCTGTGGAGTCTTTGATATCTACAGCCAGTCAGCCTGTTGTTGACAGGTCCTGTTCTGAACAGGTGAGGACTTTCTAAAGAATGCTGTCAGCCATGCCCACAAACTACAGATGAAATGTGTAGGTAGCTGGTGTTCCTGCTGGGACTGTGCAGCTCCATCACCAGACTGCAAGGAGGGAGGAGAACTGTGTGGTTTTGTGGGGCCTTCTTTCCAGCTCAGCGGTGTACCTGGCCTCAGAGAAGTCTGAGATGACAGTGAACCAGTTTTTCACCTGACTCAATTTAACCTCATTTGGCTTATTCTGTGTGAGTAGGGAGAAAAGCTAAGGATTTGTCTACTATTAAAGTAATGAGATGCCCATTGAAATGGGCTCCTAATCCCAATGGATTCCGAGTAAGGCAGAATGGAGGAGAGTGAATAGTTATCAGTCCAACAACAACAACAATAGTAGCTCTTACTTTTATGTAGCACTTTGCAGTTTACAAACTACTTTCCTCATCTCAAACCTATGAGGTGCTTTGATGGATCTCACTGGACTAATTCTGCCTTCATTCCTTCCTGACCCTGTTCCTGGTCCTGACTTTCTGGACTTCAAAGTCATGCCCTCCCCAAACCCCTTCCCCCCTTTTCAGCTCTCTTCTCTGTGTCATAGGTCCTTATTAGAATGTAAATTCCTTGAAGGCAAGAATTCTCTATCTCTTTGCTTGTATTTGTACCCCCAGTGCTGTTTTTTGTGGTCATACATCTTGATGATTCTAACATTGCTTCTCCTGTTTAATTCTGCATGATGTGTTGCAGCCTGCCCACCATGAGCCATTTGCCTTCCCTACCTCGCAGTAATCATATGAGGTAGGGAATGCAAGTTATCCTTATCTTATAGATGAGGAAATCGAGGCCCTGAGAAGTCTTTGCTAGAAAGCTACTTGGGTCTGAAGGAAGTCCCTGTGTCCCTCTGATGGGGGTTTTCCACGTTCCCTTTGGATGAGGCTAGTTTGTACTCCTAGTCTAGCACTTAAAGCCCTTCACAGTCTTTCTCCAGCCTACCTTTCCAGGGTTAACATATATTTCTTCCCTCCTTGTAGTCTACATTCCAACCAGACTAGATGCTGGCTGTTCCCTGAGCCCTACATTCAGTCTCCTGCCTCCGTGACTTGGTACAGGCTGTCTTGAATGCCTGGAATTCACACCTTCCTCAGTGCCGCTTCTGTACATACCCAGTCTGCATCTTTGGTCAAGTTTGGTCTCATGTGCTGCTTCCCTTCTTGGTTCCCTGCAGTGGTTAGTGCTCCCTGCCCCATCTCCTCAAGTTAGCGTCCGTGGGTATGGGAGAGGTGGGGGGAAGGGGGAGTGTGTTCCTCTTTACAAACTGGAGCCTCCTAGGACGATATCAGTTCCTTGACTCTAGGGCCTGTTTTTCATTTGTCTTTGTTTCCCCAATTCCCCTTTGTGCCTTACACACACAGTTGGTACTTGGTAAACTAATTTCCTACGAAAGATGATCAGACTGTAAATACCCATCTCCTGCCTTCAAATAGAACTGCTTATCTACTGTAGAATTTTTCAGTTGTACCAGAACTTCTTTGATTTCCTGCCTGTCTGTAAGATGAATTTCATTTATCTTGTTGTTTGTAGAGATTTTGTTCATTTTCAGCATTTTTCTGGGGGGGGTTTTGGAGGGATTGAGAGGTGCCAGCTCCCTAATACCTTCTCACTCTTCTGTCATCCTCAGAACATTGAACTTTTCCAAATTAAATCATTATAAGAAGGCTATCTTCAAATTGGCTTCCCAGAACATCTGGTGACTATAGCAGAAGATGAGGCACTTTGGAAGTGAATTTTTGTAGTCTAGAGGGAAATGTGAAGACCAGATCCTCCAGATGAAACCAGATTTTTTAAAGAGCTACAATCAGGCTTAATTTTTATATTTTGAAGTCCAAAAGGATCTATTCGGAGCTCTGAGTTGATGTCTTTAAAGCCATCTACTGTGTCTGCCCATTGCAGTGTGTTCTAGTGGAAATTTAGTATTTGAAGTAGGTCTTCTTGTCTTTTGAAAACAGTTTTTCAATCATTCATGAATCTTCCCCTCACATTACTCCAGTTAGGGAGATCAGTGTGATTAAATTCTGTTTAGCAAGTCCCTGAAAAATAAAGCCACTGATCAGTGGTGAAACCTGATGTAACCTTAGATCTCCTGCTCTTTTCTCTTGTGGCACAAATGGGAGCTTTCCACAAAAGCTTAGTGACAGCCTGGAGTTTAGAAGCAGAGGAAGGCGAGCCTCCTTCCTAGTGGCTTCACTATAGATAGCACAGCTTAAAGAACAGTTGTTTCTCATTTTCATTTAAAAAAAAATTTTTTTTAAAGTTTAACACTGAGTACAATATAATTAACTGAATTTACTTAATAACTATTCACATTTTAATTAATTTCAAGAGTCATTCTTGCCACATGATGAATATTAAATTTATTTGACAATGAGAGCTTTTAAGTGTTTGGGGATCCTAGACTCAGTTGCTGAACTGGATTAATGGGCTTATATAAGGCAAGGGTTGTCCCCCGTCGTGTGACAACTGCTTTTTCTTGTAGGATTGTTTCCCAAGCCCCACACCTCATCCATTGGCCTTTATCTTCTTGTCCAAGACAGGAATGCAGCTGTTGTACTCACTGGAAAGCTGCCTATGCTTTGGACCCTGGGCTGTTTATAATTAGGACAGGCAAATATGCATTTAGGTCATCTGAGGCTAGGTTAGAGAGGACGTTTCACACACTGTTCTTGTTTACAAAAAGCCTTTTCTATTAGGGTTCACTTGTATGCATGATTCAAACTATTTTTTTTTCAAATATCTTTCTGTTATGTGTCTAAAAGTAGGAACCTTGGTTTGTATATTGCCTGTAATAGTAATAATAACAATATTTGAAGTTCATGTGGTACTTTAAAGTCTACAAAACATTTAATATACAGTATCACATTTAATTATTATCCCTGTTTTGCAGATGAGGAAACCAAGGCTCAAAGAGGTTAGTTTGATTACTCATGGTCACTTAGCTAATAAATGTCAGAGGCAGAATTTGAACCCAGGATTTCTTGACTCCAGTACTACATCCAATAGGCCACATTGCCTGCTGTATATCATTTAGCTTGCTAGGCAGTACCCAACAATCATCATTAAAAGCAATTGTATTATCAATTCTGATCAGGAAATTTCAGCCTCAGTAAAATATTTAAAATGCTTGGCCAATAGAATTCATACTCTTAAAATGAGCTTTTATAAAGTGTTACTGAATTGGGATTGCACAGAATTTTGATGATTGCTACGAAAGGCGTGATTCTTTAGGTTCATCCTGATCATTAGGAGTAAGAGGATCTGTGAAGATGAAGAAGAATGTTGCTACAAACTTCCACTGAATGTCAGGATTTGTGACCTTGGAATATTGAGCCAGGGGCTTCTTCTACACCAAGCCTATGTCAGCGGGATATCACCAGATTGTTCTCCTGCCTGTCTTGAAAGTGGATACCACTCTGGCATTTATTTGGCACATTTTTAGTTTCCAAATAGGCTGAGACTGAGTATGCCAGGGAATCAATTAGTTCACGTAGGACTTATATGCTAAGTCATCCTTAATATATGAAGATACTTTGGGTCACTCATAATATTTATTAGCTACAGAAAGTCCTGGCTGGGTGGAGTCCTTTTTTATAAAGCTGTGGATGCGAGGCCTTGCTGTATGGGATGGGTGCCCTTGAGGCCATGTTTGATGACCTTTCAGAAATCTTCCTTCCTGCCCCTCTTCTAGGCCCCTTCTTTTGTAGTTTTCCGTCTAGGCTGCCTTGCAGGCCTGCACATAAAAAGTTCTCTTAATTCCCTTCCTTTACAGTAGGGGCTTTGGCATGAACTGAACTGACTCCTGGTGGTACTTCTTCAGTAGTTTGTCCTTTTTGCTTTTTTGCTTCATTTCTTTCACATTAAAAATTGGTTGGAGTCTTGACAGAGAATTTCTTTGCCAGCAGCTTTTCCTGTTGTTGAAATAAACTGGATATCATTATCTGAATGACAAGGAGGAAATAGCCCTTTTAATTGGAATATGGGAGGAGCCCAGAGCTCTCTCTGTAGCTCATAGCTGAGCAGCATGAGGAAATACCCAGGATATTTTAGGAATATAAAATGGTGTCTTTGGCAGCCCCTCGAGATAAAATCTTTTCTTAGAGAATGGTGGTTTTTATACAATCTGAACCTGTGATTTCACTGATGTGGGGAACTCCCAAGGAAGAAACTACCTCCAGAGATGCATATTGGCCTTTCCTCTGCAACTTAGAGTGCAGTCCAGTGCACAGGGAGGTTAAATGCCTTGTCCCTTAGTTACACACATAGCCATGATAAATTAGAAACCTGACTTGAACCCAGGTCTTCCTGATTTCAGACTACCACTGTCCTTTGAAGAAGAAGTATCATAACTGACTTTAGATTTAGAAAACGCTTTACAGACACTGTCTTACTCGACCCTTACTACAACCCGTGAGGTAGATATGACAGGTATTATCGCCCCATAGTAGATGTAAGACTCAGCTCTGAAAAGTGAAACATTTGCTCCTGATTACACAGCCAGTCTGTTGTCCAAGGTGGAATTTGAACCCACATCTCTCCTGACTCCAGGTCCATCTTCCTTTCTGCCACACTTGTACTCAGATGAACTGAAAAGATATTGAGAGACAGCATAAAGAGCTGGGATATCAGAGGGGAAATAGGAAATATAGAATACTTCTTTCTAAGCTCTTCTATTTCTTTTCTGTGTTCTTCTTCAGTCATCCTATGTAGTATTCAGACCTGTACCTGGCTACCTTCCTGACCTTAACACCCCAGATAGTCTTTGATAGGTTCCTGTACAGCTCTGGACCCAACCATTCCTATCTAGAAAATGGTCATAGCATTGTAACTTTGCCAGGATCTTTGAAATCCTTAGGAGGAAGATTTTATATAATTGCAGTTTATGATGAGTGGCCACGACTCATGTCTATGGAGCTCTGGGCTCCTCCCATATTCCAGTTGAAAGGGCTATTTCCTCCTTGTCATTAAGATACTAGAGTCCTGTGCAGGAACCAAAAAATTTTAAATACAGTTCTTTAAAGTTCACAAGGCACTTTCCTCACAACAACCCTATGAGACAGTAGTACAAGTATATTATCATTACTTTGCAAGTGAGAGAACTGAGATTTAAGGGAAATGAGGGAGGAAGATCTAGTGCAGGGGTAAAGAACATTAGATTTGTAATCAGGAGACCCAGATTTGATTCTCTCTCTTACTGCCTTGAGCAAAACACTTAAACTCTGAGTTCAGTTTCTTCATCTTTAAAACGAGGGAGTTGGACTAAGTGAATTCTAAGGTCCCTTTCAGCTCAGAATTTGTGATTCTGGGAGACCTTGACATAATAGAAAGAGCTCTGGAGTCAGAGTCAGAGGATCTGGGTTGTCATCTTGGCTCTGCCACTTTTGACTTTGGGCAAGTTACCTAACTTCTTCAGGCCTCAGTTTTCTCTGTAAAAAGAGGGGTGAATCAGACTAGATGACCTGTGAGTCCCTTCCAGCTCTGCAGTTCTCATTCTATGATGAGAAGAGGGAAACATAGCCAGTCAGTGTTAGAGCTGAGACTAGCATCAAGTCTTTGTCACTGGCAAAGAGGAATTAAAAGGCAGTGGGATTACCTTGAGGTTTTTTGCATGATAGTTTCAAAACAAAACCCTGCAGCTAAGTTTCAGAGTAGTTAGTTACTTGTCAAACACCTCTGGAAGAATGTCCTCCCTAACTTCCTCAAATACCACTCCTGCCAGCCTGCCCCTTTCGAGTTCTCTCGTTGACACCTTCATTTTTTGACTCAGTGTAGAACAATCCCATCAGACCAATTCAGAAACCAGTTGGTTTGGGAGAGTTGCTCCTAGGCACACACAACACAGTGGAGTTTTTCTTTCAAGGTTTCATTTCTTTTTTTTTTTCTGATTATTTTCTTCCCGCAGGTGAATTTAGAAAACCGTCCAACTTCCAAAGCAATTCACAACATATTTAAGGAAGCCATACAACTACTGCAGAAGAAGGGAATTGTCTTCCAGAAAACGCGTGACTTTACTGACCTGTATTATGTAAGAGAGCTGCAACACAATCCTTGTTCTAATACTTCAGGACCCAGCCTTTCTGGCCAAAAGCTGGGTCTCAGCTTTTAGAGTATGCCAAAATAGGCCATACTAACGAGGACTGTGTGCTTCCATTGGTCCTATTCTCCTGGAGGTAAAAGAAATTTAGTCAGTGAAGCAGTGGTTAAGCATCCTCTATGGGCAAAGTCTGCAAATACAAAGACAAACGTGATATGGTCCCTCCCCTCAAAGAGCTGGTACTTGGTGGAAAGAACACTGGATTTGCTGACAGAAGACCTTACTTCCTGCCTCTGCCACTTTATTCCCTGTGTGACCTTGACTAGTTTGCTTAATCTTTTCTACCACTTATTTTCTTTACCTGTAAAATGTGAGGGTTGAATTGGGTGACTTTTAATGTCAGTTTGAGCTCGAAATCCAAGATGCTAAAGTAATTAGAGGAGGAAGAGAGCACTGACACCTAAGGGGATCTGTAAAGGCTTCCTGTAAGAGGTACACTCCCCCTTCACCCCCATTGAAGCCTTGGAAAGATGAACATGAGAAGGGAAGACATTCCAGGCTTTGGGGGCATGGTATTGAGAGTATAACATGTAGGGTAGTTTGGCTGAAATGGAGATTATGTAAAGGAGAAGAATGTAAGCTAAATCTTCCAAGGTAAGGAAGAACTATATTATTAAGGGCTTTAAATGCTAGGCCAAGGAGTTTTTCTTCATGCCAGAAACAATAGGGAGCTACTGGAGATTTTTGAGCAGGGAAGTGGTATGGTCAGACCTGTGCTTTGGGAGGATTATTTTAGCAGCTGCTTGGAAGATGAATTGCTGAAGAGAGAGACTAGAAGCAAGGAGACCAATTAGAAGGTGGTTAGAGTGGTCTAGATAAGAAGTGATAAAGGTGGTGGCCTTGTGAGTGGTGATAAAGAAATGGATTTAGGAGGTGTTGTGGATGCGATAAAACTTGGTGGCTGATTAATAAATGCTTATAGAGAGATTGCTCTGTGGAGGATAAGGAAGAAAGTAGACTCATAGATTAATTTAGTATTGTGAACCTGAGCAATGAGCAGGAAGAACAAAAACAGGAAAATCTGAAGGAACGGATAGGTTTGGGAGGAAGATAATGAAGTCTTTTAGATGTACTGAGTTCGAGAAGCCTATGGGACATCTATGTGGAGATGTCTAGCAGCTAGTTGATAATGGAGAATTTGACTTCAAGAAAGAGATTAAAGCTATTTTCTGTAGCTTTGGGAGTCATCTGTGGAGAGATCGTTGAAGCCATGGTAATTGATACGCTTGCCAAGAGAAGAGAGTTCAGAACAGGACTTTGTGCAACATCTGGTATTAGCAGGTATGATTGAAGATGGTCAGGAATGGGGCCTGAGAGAGCAGTCAGGCAGGTAGGAAGAGAACCAGGAGAGAGCAGAGTGAGGAACGTCAAGAGAGGAACTAGTTTCTAAGAGAAGAAGGGATAGTTGAGGAAGTGAGAACTTAGAAAAGGCTGTTGGATTTAGCAATTAAGGGAACACCGGTAACATTGGAGAGAGCAATTCCTGTTGAGTGATGAAGGGGGAGCTAAACTGCAAGAGAGGTAAGTGGGAGGCGAGATAGTGCTGGCAATGAGCGTAGGCAGTTTGTTTTGTTTTGCTTTCCAGAAGCTTGGCTGTGAAAGAGAAGAGGGGATTTTTATCTCCAATTTCAGGGCTCAGTTAAAGGTGTCTTTTAAGGGTGTGGATGACCTGGGCGTGTTTGTGGGCAGCAGAGAAGCAGTCAGTACATAAGAAATTAAAGATGAGAGACCCAGGGAATGATTAAAGAAGCAAACTCCTAGATGAGATGGAGAAAATGGGGTCAAAGGCACAGATAGAGTTTTGGGTCTTGCCAACTGTTAAAAGCCATTTGGAGCAAAGCAGAGAATAGGGAATGATGTGAAGGAGTTTTAAGGGGCCTGGGAAAAGTGGTAGCTCATGACAGATGACCTGGATTTTCTCAGGAAAGTAGGAGGCAGGGACCTCTGCTGGGAAATAATTCCCAAAGATCATTCTTTTTTATAGAAAATTTGCCAGGTGCTAATTTCTTTCAGTGATTCCTGAATTTAAAGAGCTTTTAAAAAAATTTTTTAAAATCATTTTTAGTATCTTCATTCAATAATTTGAATATAGAATCATAGATTTAGAGCTATCTTCAAAATTCAGTGTCTATCCACTACACTGTGCTGCTTTATCTGTTGTATAACAGAGCATACTAAAACCTCCCGAACAAGAGAATCTTTTCTTGGTTTTGGGGATAAACACTGCTGGTTGGTTCAAAACTCTCTCTTATGATGATTAAGAAACTTACCTTTTTTTTTTTTAAGCATATAATCAGTAGTTGTTCCATGTGGAGTCTTCAGTAGACAGTGGTTCCTGTGGTCATACTTATTTTGTTGATGTCCTTTGAACTTTGCATCCCTCCTAGTCTGTAGGGAGCAGCTCTTCCTTGTGAGAAATAGCAAAGTGGGTAATTGGCAATGGAGTCAGGGTGTGGCTGGGTTGGTGCCACTTCTTCCTGTGAATCATTAGGATCTGCGTTGATGGGATTGGAACTCATTTCTTATAAACATCACCTTCCCCATCACTGACTCTCCTGCTATGACTACTCCCACTGCATAAGATTTGAAGGTTTTTAGCTTGTGATTTTATTCCAGAAGTCTTTGGGCTATTCTGTAAGCTTGGTTCAAACAAGACCACCCTTTTTGACTGCCAGTTCATTTTGACAGTATTTTATTAAGTGGCTGCTATATAGTGAGCACCATGCTAGGCACCACGGTTACAACAAAAAGAAAACAGTCCTTTTCCTTGAAGAGTTTGCATCCTACTGTCATTCAATATTCCTATTATTTTACTTTTAACATATTGTGTATTACATATCAACCACAGGAATTTGTTAAAGGCTTATAATTATGTGCCAGGAACTGTGACTGAACTCTAGGAATACAAAGAAAAAGCAAAAATCACCCCTTAACTCAAGGATCTAATTGGGAGATAACTTGTTCATTCAGGGTAGATGTTAGGTAGTCTTTTTAGAGGCATTATAGCTTAATGGTTACAGAGCCAGCCTTGGAGTCAGGAAGACCTGAATTCAAGCTATCCTTCTGATGTATACTGGTTCTGTGACCGTGGCTAAATCATTTGGGTGAGCATTCTTTTTTTTTTTTTAAAGCAATTGGGGTTAAGTGACTTGTCCAGAGTCACACAGATAATAAGTATCAAGTGTTTGGTCTGAGGCTGGATTTGAACTCAGGTCCTCCTGACTTCAGGGCCAGTGCGCCATCCATTGTGCCATCTAGCTGCCCCGTGAGTATTCTAAATGTTCCAGACAGCCCACTAAAACTTTAAGTTACTGAAGAGTTTTCCTGTCTCTGTTGGTGGAGGTAGTTTATACACCAGGAGTTCCCAGTATTATTGAAGTTATAGGTCTGAAAAATAAATAATTAGCATTTTCTACTAATATAATTAATGATGCACTTAGTAAATTGTTGAATTAAATTAAATAATCTTAATAATAATAACAACTTCATGAATTGGAAAAGCATTTATTAAGGATTTACTACATATGAAGTCTAGAATTCCTGCTCTTAAGGAGCTCACATTCTAATTGAACTAGATAACAAATAAAGAAAGATTCATGTCTGTGTTCAGCTTGTGGCAAATGGAAAGGCCAGGTAGTACTTAAAAGTAGCAGGGCAGATGGCAAGGTCCTAGGACCTTGGGGAGTAATCTCAGGTAGATTGTTCCTGAGCAAGGGGTGAGTGGGTTCAAGGGTTACAGTGGTCTGGGGCTCTGGAATATCTCCAGCAGAGGTAAGGATGTAGGGATTCAGCATTCAGACAACAATGGTTGTCCTGCAGGTGCCTGGTGGGAATTGGGCCATGGGGAATCAGGGATGAAAGTTAGAAAAGATCCTTAGTGAGAGAGGCAGGGCAGTCTCTTGAATGGAAGAGGAGGCAAAGAAGGTGAGTGACTCAAGCAGGGTTACACAGCCCGGAAGTGTCAAAGGAGGGACCGAGACTTGGACCTCCCACAGGGCTCTTTCCACTACACTAGTTTGTCTCTAAGCAAACACTTGAAGTGACATCTGCTTTCCTAACTGATGATGATGCAGACAATAAGACATATGCACAGATGAGAAGCCTTTAATTGGTGCTCACCTGTTCTGTAGAGAATCCTCTTCTGCAGGAATCCAGGAGTGGGGAGGCTACTGAAATTCCTTCTAAAATTCTGTGGCAGGCTTGCTTTGTGTACTTACTTTGTTGTCTTTCCTATTGTGATTCTTTTGGTTTTCCTCTGTATTTTGTTAGCTATCTTTGTTCTTCCTACCAAAAGCAAAAGATTGTATGGTCTGGCAGAAATAGCCCTAACCTAGGAGTCAGGCAGGCAGGCATTTATGAAGTGCCTACTGTGTTCCAGGCACTGTTATGGTTACCAGGAAAAGCAAAAGTCAGTCCCTGTACTTGAGGAGCTGACAGTGTAATGGGGAGATAACATGTAAAGAACTATGTACAAAGGACATTACAGGATAAATTGAAGATAATCAATAAAGCGAAGGCACTAGCATTAATGGTGATTGGGAGAGGATTCCTGTAGAAGGTGGGATTTTAGCTGGAGCTTGAAAGAAGCCAAAAGTCACAGATGAGAGGACTGCAGACATGAGAAACAATTGGTGGAGTATTTTATTCAAGAAACAACCAGGAGGCCAGTGTCACTGGACTGCAGAGTATGTGGAAGGGGGAGGAAGGTTTAAGAGGATGGGAAAGCTCAGAGAGGACCGGGTTGGAAAGGGCTTTGAACCCCAGAGAATTATATATTTGATCCTGATAAGGAGTGACAGGAGTTTATTGAGTAAGGATAAGGGAAGGTCAGATTTGCACTTTAGGAGTTGACAGCTGAGTGAAGAATGAAATGGAGTCCCCTCCAGCTCAAAATCTCTGAGATTTAGGCAAGAGAAGTCAGTTCCAATCCCAGCTAATTGTGTGACCTTGAATGATTTCCTTTGTAAATTATGGCTACACTCTTACCTCAAATAGATACTGTAAGGCCAAATGAGAAAACAGCTGTGAAAGTTTCATTAGCTGTACAGAAGAAAGTTGTCATACAGATAGAGAATTATTTTTGTTTCCTGTATAGCTTAAATGAATCATCTCATAACAGTGGGCCATGTTGTCCAAGCAAGTCATAGGGATAGAAATGATTTGGTAATATGGTTAGTATTTAAAGCATGTTATCAGCATTGGAAGGATAATGGAATTCCTTTGGAATCTATTCTAAATATTGATTTAGAGGTTTATCTAGTGCAGCTTGTGTATTAAAAAGCTTTCTCTTTCACTACATTCTCTTTTTAGGTGACAAGTCAAGATAAGGAACTACACAAAAAAATCCTCAGTATCATTCAAGATGATTGCCAGAAACCAAGGCGTAAGTTGTACAAATAGATCCTTTCATGATATAAAAAGGGAATGTTCCTTGCCAATGGATATATAAAAGTACAGAAGACAATATGGCATAGCAAGGAGACAGGAGCTTTAGTTTCAGCTTTGCTCCTACCAGGCTGTATAATCATGAGAAATTCCCTTGATTTCTCTATACCTTGGCTTTTTCATTTCTCATATGGCAGTAAGGTAGAAAGACTAGATGAAGTCTATAAGCTTACTAACCCTATGTTTTTACTAGTAAATGATTGGAGAGGAGCAAGAAGAGAAATTGAAGTAGATGACCTCTAAAGGCCTTTCCATCTCTAAGTCTGTGGTCCTTTAAAACTGCTTTGATGAGGAGCAGTGTGGTATAATGGACTGGATTTGGAGACAGAGGACCAGGGTTTAAATCCTGGCTCTGCCATTTATTACCTACAGCCTTGAGCAAATTACTTAACTTCTTTGGATCTAAGTACTCGTATGTAAAAAGAGGGGGTGGGTGGGCAGGGGTGGAGATTCGATTTATATGACCCCTAAGGTCTCTTCCAGCTCTAATATATGATCCTGTGAACTCCAAAGATCTTTGATTCCTAGTTCTATCATTATTCCCCTTTTCTTTTGCCTCTGGAGCCAAGGCTAAGTTTCCCCATATATAAATTTCAAAGTTAATGAAATTGTACTGAGCACTGGAACTCATTAACACACTAAATTTGACACTTAGCAAGGAATAGCCATCTTGGAAACTGAAACCTTAGGATCATCTAAATCTAATTTCTACCCCTATCCCCTTTTACATACTAATGAGGAAACAGAGGTCCAGAATAGTTAAACAATTTGCCCAAGGTTGCATAGGTAGTAAATGGCAGAGCCAGGATTTGAACCTTGGTCCTCTATCTCCAATCCAGTGCTCCTGCTGTACCACATTGCTTACCATTAAACGTTGGGAAAAGAATTGGCTTGGAAAGTCATTTACTTTAATGGAGTTAGGTCAGCCTCTAGTGGTTAAAGTATCAAACTGTAGAGCAGGCAGATACTCATGATCCCAAGAAGTTTTCGTCACTTATTTTTAAATCCTTATCTAGAACTTGCCACCTTAAATGGTGGTTTCACAAACGACTTAAATGTGTCCTTGTATAGAGGTGACCTTGTGTTCCTGAAGGCTATTCTACACAAGTGAGTGCACAAGGCCCAGCAGGTTCTACCAAACAGGAAAGCTTTTGGCACACTCTTATCCAGGGACCAGCGTAGTGCAGAACAGAGTGGCTTGTTGGCTGCTAAATGACGGAATGTTTTTTAGATCAGGGCAACCCGTGAAACAGACAAAAAGCACAGAATGATGCTCAGCATATACTTCAGTTTTGGCGGTGCAGTTTCTCCAGTGGGGGCTGGGGCAGTAGTTCATGTATAATCTCTCTTTCTCCCTTAAATCAAACCTGTGGAGAGGAACTTGGGAGATGTTTCATGCCACTATTTTAGAAAGGAAGTATTCTTCCTTTAGCACTGAGTACCTGTTATGTGCATATTATACTGAAAATGTTGGTGGGGAGGAAATGACTTGTATTGAAAGAACGGCTTGGTGTGAGATTCCTTAGTGACCATTTCATTTCCCTCGTGGTTTTCTGTCATCTTTTAAAATTTTAGCTCTGGTAGCTTACATCCACCCATGCCTTACTCAGAGGAGAGGAGCATGGAGATTTAAACTAGTCTTTACAGTGCCTAGCCCTGGTTAGCTTTGAAGAACCGATGAGATCCCAGTGAAGGCAGGCAGGATTGTTGTCCTTTAAAGGGATCTCAAAGGGAGCATTAGCACAGGGTTTTTTGATGTCTTGTTTTCATTCCCTGGCTCACATCTTATTCTCTTCTGAATTCAGAGCCATAGGCACCAAGTCTATTTAAATTCAAAAGAAAATATTTACCCTTTTTTTGGGTCATCTTTGGAATTTTGAATGGAATAATTTAATCATGTATCAGAATAAATGCTGCCAGAGCATCAGTGTGACACATAGTTCACTGGAGATCAAGAGTGATGAGGTTCTGTGTTCTTCAGGAACGATATATGCCCTTCAGCCCCTTAGCTGGATCTGCGTTAAGACCAGAATGGACTGAAATTAGCTAAGAGCCTGGGGAAGCAAATGAAAAAAATTCGTATCTCATGTGTTACAAAAACCAAACAACCTTTTGTCGCCTGAAGGATGGCATTTTTTCAGCATTTCTCACTCTGCAGGGCAGCTTCTAAAGATTTGTGTTGTGCTAAGCAGGCTCTGCCAATCACATGGTAACTAGGAGTCTTGTCATTAAGTCATCATTGAATTGACTGAAACTAATACGTTTTTCAGAAGCTGAATCTGGTAGGGTGACTAACTGATACCGCCTATTAAAACAATAACAAACTTCTCCCCACCCCCACCAAACTGAAAAAAAAAACCCAACCCAACCTTCTTAGTGACTATATTAGAAGCTGATGCTGCCTCCTCTGACGCTCAAGAAATAGTGCTTCCATTGTGTTTTATTTTCTCTGGCTAACCAGTAGAAGGATTTGAAACAATGCTCTTCAATGAGTCTCTTGGCAAGGGCTTGCTTAGAACACTAGAATCATAGAATTATTTTTATACCATTACTAGAAATGTGAGGCAGCTCAGAGTAGTGAATATAAAAGGGAAGCTTCTACATCAAGAAAACCTGGGTTTAAGTTCTCTTCTTGCCATATGGTAGCTATATTGTATGATCCTGGACCAATCATTTAATCTCTCAATGCTCTGGACAACTCTCTAGGACTGTAAATTAAAACACAGGTAGAGATCTACATTGTAGAGATAATTTCTTCACTAGGAGTTCCAGATTCTGTCTTTAGGATATAATCCAGCAATGGAATGGCTGGTTATAATTATTTTGAGGACTCTTATGTTGCCAGCTAGTTCTTCAAAGTGTTGTACCAGACTGCAATCTCATCAGTAATGTATAGAGTGCCCATTTCCCTCCAAAAAAGAAAGAAACCATATATACAAACAAGATATAGAGGTTGAATTGGAGATCATCTCAGAGGGAAGGCACTAGAATTAAAAGGACCAGGAAAGGCTTCTTGCAGTAAGTGGCAGAGATGGGAGTTGAACTGAGACTTGAAGGAAGTCAGAGAAGTCAAGAGGCAGAGATGCTCAAGGAGGAAGTGTATTCCAGACGTGGGGGAGGTCCAGCAACAGCGGAAAGAGTTGGAAGAGGAGAGTCTTGTTTGAGGGCACAGCAGAGGCCGGTGTCACTGGATTGTAGCATGTGTGGAAGGGGGAGAAGAGTATGATAAGGCAGAGACATGTTCCCCTTAAATCTTTTTCTCTCCAGTTCCTTCAACAGAACATAATACAGTTCTGAGTCATCTCACTAATAAACTCCTTTCCTTGAACTCTTAGAGTACTTTGTGACACTTTGATTTAGTTAATCTTGATAGAATTTATTAAGTGCTTATTATGTGCCAGGCCCAGTGATTAGCTGGATACAAAGAAAAGACATAAAACAGTCCCTGCCCTCAAGGAGCTTAAATTCTAGAGATAACATGCCTACAATACACTTGCCTTGTAGATGGAAGATAACTTTATACGAGAAGCTACTAACAGCTAGGGAGGGCCCAGGAAAAGGCTTAGGCTGTAGGTGTTTGAACAAAGTCTTGTAGGAAGCCAGGGATACTTTGAATTACTGTTATCTGTGTGTGTATCTTATCTCTCTTAACTTTTTGTTTGCTCTTTGAAGTTCTGGATTATATCTTGTTAATCAGTAGCTTGCACTGTGGTTTGTAAGTAGTGAGTGCAAAATGTTTGTATGAGTTGATTGACAATGTTTTACATTAAACTTTTAAAGAATTACTGCTAGAGTTATTCTAAGATCCCCTTTATTGTTGTCAGAGGAGATAGTTGGTAACATTTGGTAAATAATGGTTTCCATAATAAGAAGAACTGACTTTATATAATACTTGAAAATTTACGAAGTGTTTTACGTATGTATTACTTCATTTGAACCTCACAGCAGCCCTATGAGATAGGTAATACAGATATTACCCTCATTTTACAGATGAGTATTACCCTCATTTTACAGATGAGTGATTGAGGTGTAGAAAGGGTGACTAACTTGAACAAGGTCAAGTAATAAATAATGTAAAAGTGGAATTTGAATGCAGGTTTTCTGAGCCAAGCACTGTGTCTCCTATACCAGCTGTATTAGTTGAGAATCAAGTGGATGGCTTTTTTCTTTTTTTCCTTAGTCCAAGCCTTTGAGAAGAAAATAATTTAGAATAAGATCTCTAGGAAAATTTATTTTGTACCTTTTTCCTGGTGGAAGAAGGATAAAGGTTAGGGAATGTGGACAGAGTACAGCATGTCTCTAGGGTTAAGTAGAAATAGTTTGGTAGATGTGATCATGAGAGGACTAAATAATATTTATGATCCAAGTAAAATACTTTGAATGTTACCTTGAGGCTGGTTCTCAAAATTATGAACTGTCTAAAAAGTATAGTATATTGAATGTTTTAAAATAATAGGTTACAAATATATTAAAAACCTGTAGCATGGTACATTGCCTACAGTAGATGCTAATAAATGTTTATTAATTTGAATTGAATGGTAGCTTTTTTCCATGTTACATTTCGTATATAGAATGTTTCTACTTTTTCCTTAAACAGACAGAACTTCTCTGTTCATCAAGTGCTGAAATAGCAAAATGGTGATTAAATAGGTCATACCACTAAACTTTTTAAAATTTAATTTCATTTTTTTCAATTAACAAAAATCTATATTTTCTTCCTTCCCGCCCTGTCTGCCTCCAGTTGAAAAAGAAAAAAAGAAAGCCCTTCTAACAACAAATAAGCATAGTCAAGCAAAATAAACTTCTGCTTTGGCTATGTCCAAAAAAATGTTGTCTTACACTTCACCCTGAGTCCATCAGCTCTATGAAAAGCAGTGGGTAACATGCTGCATTATCAGCCCTCAGGAATCACAGGTGGTCATTGTATTACTCAGAGTT